AAAAAAAAAAAAAAAAATAACAAAAAAACAGAAAAAAAACAAACAAAATAAAAAAAAAAACAAAAACAAATAAAAAAAAAAAAAAAAAAACACACAAAAAAAAAAAAAAAAAGGAAACGAATCGAAGGAAGAGATTGCCATCAGCGCCTGGGGCTCGCGGATGGTGAGCGCGGCCAGAGACATGAAGGTAGGCCAGCTGGATCGACAACTGCCTCTTGCACAAGAAGCTCGATGGGTCCGTGGAAGGCTCTTGCGAGGACTTCCTGGACTCCGACCGGCACAGCTTCAGCCACCTGACCACAGATGTTGCGGGGAAGCGCGCCGAGCGCTTGCGGCAGCTCGACTGCGACAGGGGCCACGCCATTTCCACGCCGTGGAGCCTGCAGGCCGGCGCGCTGCGAATGAAGACGGACGGCTCGGAGAAGTACGTGTCTTGCGCAGCGACCGTTGCTGCTTGCCCCTTGACTATGCAGGACCGAGCTCCTGAGCCCCTTGTCTGCAGTTGGGTGACAGCCCTGTAGTGCTAGACTAGAACTCATGCGCTGACAAACCGAAACGAGGCCGCTGTGGAGGTTGTGCTGCATGGCATCTGGGTGACGAACGTGCACGGCAGCCCCAGCTATACACCTTGTAAGCACTGCCGCACCAAAATTGATGCAAGCACACAGGCCTGCAAGAAGAAGGCTGAGGGCTGCGCTTCCACGCCGAATGACGAGGTGGCTGTCCTTGCAACTTTGGACATTGCTGACCACACGGGCTGCTTGGAGCGTGTTCTCGTTGGCGAAGCTGCGCTGTGTGACTTGTCGGCTGCTGAAGATAAGCAGGCACTGCTGCGTATCCTTGACAAAGAGGGGCCCGAGGGGCTGTGCTTTCGAACTCAGCTGGACATTCGCTTGGCCACCAGCTCCAGCATGAACAAGTATCGGCCTGCGACAGACTCTACTGCTGCTACGACCCAACAGGACTCTCAAGACTCCGATAGCAAGGCTTCGATCACGACAGAGTGTCAGTTCCAGGTCCTGGCGGCGCAGCCGTGCTTGGGAAAGGCCTACGATGCTCATAGCCGCCCCATGATCAAAAAGGTGCTGCGCCTTGCCGGGTCGAGGCCAGAAGGGGCCGTGTATCCGGTTAGCAGCGTGTACACTGACGTGTCCTACTCCGGCATGGGCATCAAGGTCAACGGCGCAGTGATCTTCCCGGCCTTTGTGACCATCCTGGCACGTGCAAAGGACGCAGGCGAGCTGCGTCGATTTGGCGATCAGAGCGACGAGCACGTCTTGATTCAGCACGCCCAAGTTGTGCCTGTCGACGCGGCTGTTGCAGAGGAAGAGTTCTGCGTGGAAGCCATGCGCAGCTTTGCCCAGTGCTTGCAGTACAGCATGTCCGACGGGACTCCCCGGCTACTTCTCGGAGCGCTGACTCGCGAAGACAAAGCGGGTAAGGTCACCATGGTCGTGGAGCGCATGTTTCGTGTCAAGGACGAGGGCCAAGTGGACAACCTTGCTGCTGAGCGCTCCCTGGTCGTGGAGCTGCAGGCTGACTCCGCGCAGACCACGGCGACGAAGCGTCCGGCTGACGCCCTCGTGGCGCAAACTCCCTCCAAGGTCAAAAGCGGACGCTGGGAAATTCGGAAGGAGACCTAGTAGTAGTAGTAGTAGTAGCTTCGAGTCTTTTCTCACACCATTTGAAACGCGACCAGGAAGGCGTGCTCTTTGCGAATCCCGGGCGCTAACTTCATGTTGACAGGCGGCTGTGAAAAAGGCACGAGGGCACACGAGAACTGGAACGCATGCGGACTGGATGCTGTGCAGGGCCCGTCAGCAGCTTCTGGTGCAAGACTATGGCGCAGCTTGATACCATGTCGGACTGCGCTTTGCCTGCGCCATCCGACGGGTTGGAGGAATGGATAGAGGACCGCCAGCGAGCCGTCGACAGCTGCTTCAAAAACCGCAGCGCCTGGTCGGACCTGGACTGCCGAGTGTGGCAGCACGACTATAGCTTCAAGAGCATTGAAGCCTGGCCGCTGGATGCCTGCGTCGTGCACTCCGAGAACGCAAGTCAGAATGTGTTGCTGGGAAGCCTCAAAGCTGCCTGCTCCTTGGCGGACATCCACAGCTGGCTCGCAGTGCGCGTCAACGTAGTGGTCACCCTTTGTGGCCGGGAGATGACCGTCCGGGGCGCTCCGCAGGATTGGCGCCAGTACTTCGCAGACTTTGGCGCTCGTCATCTCCAAGGACACCTAGAGGACTGGACTGTAAAGCAGCCGCGCAACAGCGCGGACCAGCTCCGGCAGTGTGCTCTGGACTGCTTCACGCATTGGAAGCACCTCTGTTGCCAGCTTTGGAGGTTGGCCAAACTTCACGTCTGCGAGAAGAAAGACATGCAAGTCTTGTTCCATTGCTTTGGCGGCATCAACCGCAGCGCTGGCGCGCTCTGCGCGTGGCTCATTGTAGCCTACGGCTTTTCTGCTGCGAGCGCAATTGATCTCTTGCTCGAGAAGCGCCCTGGCCTTCGTCCATGGCGTCATCGGAGATACGTGCTGTGGGCTCTGCACGCGGTGGAGCAAAGTCGAACTTCTTGGCGGTTAGACTTCGGCGACTGCAAGGACGACCTTGGCGAGCGTGATCTTTGTGACTCCTCCGGTCAGCATAATTACCCCGTGAGTGAGTAGAGACTGAGCGCGCAGGTAGTGATGCACGGCTTGTTGCTGAGTGCAACGAGCAGGCGAATGTTTTCGAAGCTCTGTTGTCTCAGTGGCTGACTGTCTGCAAGTGCGTGACACCCGCCTCGCACGCGACGAGCAACAACAATGCGAGCGAGTCACGAGCGCTCTAGGCTTTTGCTTCTTGCTTGTGCGCAGGCGGAAAACACCGGCGCGACGCACGCTCGAGTCAAAGTCCGCCACGCGCAGCCTCACGCGCAGCATCATATGCCACAGCATGCGCAGCATCGCGCGCAGCGTCACGCACCGTGCCACGCACACCTTGGCGCGCAGCATGCAGACGAGTGGCCCGGAAGCAACATAGGCGACAGGCGAAGTAATTCTCGAAAAGTTGGTAAGAGAAGCTGCCAGACAACATCAGCGCATTGAGCAACCTGCGTGACACGCTTGAGCGCTTGCACTGACTCCACGTTTTGCTCTTCGAGGGAAGCCGAGTGAAGCCGGACAACATCAGCAGATTGAACAACTCACATCAGCAGCTTGAGCATTTGTGCTCATTGCACGATGTTGCACTTGAGTGGAGCCGAGGGAAGCCGAGTGAAGCCGGACAACATCAGCAGATTGAACAACCTACATGACACGCTTGAGCATTTGTGCTGCTTGCACGCTGTTGCACTTGAGTGAAGCCGAGGGAAGCCAAGGGAAACCGAGTGAAGCCGGACAACATCAGCAGATTGAGCAACCTACATGACACGCTTGTGCGTTTGCATTGAGACCTCGTTATGTAAGTTTCCTGCGCTCCGGTCTCGCTCCGCCCAGGTGGTGGTGGTTTCTCCACGGTGCCTCAGGTGTTGGTTCTCCCCCGCCTCGCCTTCCGCGCCACGCGCCTGGTGGTTGGTTCAAGCTGGCGCGGAGCAATTCTCGCCCTTTGCCGCGTAGAGTTAGCTGCGGAGCAGTTCCTATGTTCCGGCTTGACGCGCGGCGGGGCTCTCAAACACCTAAGCATGTGGCGCGTGTGATTTATTACTGTGTTATGTTTTAGTCTTGTTTTGTCACACCCACGTCATGCGCAGCATCGCGCGCAGCATCACACACCGCCGCCACGCACAGCTTCGCGCGCAGCATGCAGCCGCCGTATCTTTTAACATGCGCTTCGCGATCTTCCTCGATGCTGCCACTTTGAAAACATCAGCACATTGAGCAACCTGCGTGACATGCTTGAGCGCTTAGTGTGGACTCCACGTTTGCCTGTCGAGTGAAGCCGAGGGAAGCCGAGTGAAGCCAGACAACATCAGCAGATTGAACAACCTACATAACATGCTTGAGCAGTTGTGCTGCCTGCACGCTGTTGCACTCGAGTGAAGCCAAGGGAAGCCGAGTGAAGCCGGACAACATCAGCAGATTGAACAACCTCCGTGCCACACTTCTGCATTTGCATTGAGACCTCGCTATGTAAGTTGCCTGCATGTCCAGGAGCTTCGCTCCAGTTTCGCTTCGCCCAGGTGGTGGTGGTTTCTCCACGGTGCCTCAGGTGTTGGTTCTCCCCCGCCTCGCCTTCCGCACCACGCGCCTGGTGGTTGGTTCAAGCTAGCGCGGCAAAAAAATCAACATCGCGGTAGTTTGCTTGCTGCCTGTTTGTTCATGTTGGAGCCGCCCGAAGCATGGTATGCATCATCGAGATCCACATGCCGAGCCACTCGATCTACACGCGCGACATGATGGTGGGCAAGATCGCGATGAGCAGGGAGAACCTGCACTGAGAAGTGCATGAAATTCCTCAACTTTTAGTGCCATATTCGAGCTACTGACAAAAAGCGGAATCTGTCTGTGTGCAGCTTGTCGCGACTAGACTACTTGATCGCTAACAACTAACTTGCCTCCATGCTTCCGGGCCACTCGTCCTCTAGTCTAAATCCCCTACATCCCTCCGAGAGAGGGGTTCCAGTACACGCAAACCACTACCCCCAGGTAAATTGAGGTATGTACCCTTTACATAGTGACTGTACAGTGGCTTACCCTTTACATAGTGATTGTACAGTGGCTTTATATCCCATGAAAACCCCCTGGTGGTAGCTTCGGTTTGGGGGTAGTGGAAACCATCTCAGAGCTTTAGTTGAGTCTCACTGGCTGAACGCCAAGTCTCATTTCAGCTTCCCTCTGATTGGTGGTTTGGTGGTTCAGAAGGGTTTCCCATTAATGCTCTGCACCAAATCCCTCCAATCACAAAATCAAATACGAATCTAAAGTTCCCACCAATCCCCAGTTGGGGCACCTATTGGATTGGGGTTCCCACACCAAATCCCCAGTTCCCACCAATCCAAACCACCTGCCTCACGGGCTACCTGATCATTCCGCGCCTGTACCACTTCAGGTCCGCGTTGAGGCACATGTCCTCTGACCTCGCGAGAGCAGTTGCAGCCAGCGAGCCCTCGACTGAAGCGAGCCGCAACAATTGGCATAGGCTGGCAACAAAGAGAGCTTTTTTGCAGCCCCCTTCTAAAAATGAACAGAACCCAAAACAACAAGAAGAAACAGAAAACTTGATCCAAGAACAGTGAAGGAAGGGAACCCTTGGGCTGGCCTTTTGAAAAGGAACCAACTGTCACCAAGTCTACTGATAAACCTTGCCGCTCGCCGAGTTTGAACTGCTCAAGTCAATATGCCACCCCCTTCCCGTCCCGCCGCCTTTCCCCCTCCCCAAAGCCCATGGATCCCAACGAGTTCCTGCCTGCTAATGAGAAGGCCCTGCTCTGTGTGGTTCCAGGACCTCGGCCAGCTTGGCACTTGGCCCTCGAAACGGCGCTTGGCGGTGCAGTAGTAGGTGGCTGTGGGTCAAAACATGTACCAAAATGGCACCTTGGTGAATGGAGCCAAAGACCAGTTGGGGGAATTACGTGTTTTGCTGCCACACGGCCAAGCGCATTTTTAAAGACAAGAAAGCCGACCCGGACATGGAATGGTTTTGCAAAGGCAATGAAGGAAATCCGCCAGGGCCTTTTGTCCGCGAAATCTGAAGGTTGCTGTGTTGCAGCCCGGAGACCCTGGGAACAATTTTGGCATAGGAACATGACAGGAAGCACCACCTAGTTTGCCAAGTAAAGCCGACCAAATCCATCAAAATCCACTTTGTCTCACCTCTTCACCCGGAAAAGCCGGCCAAAAGCGCACCAAGTCCCCCCGCTGATTCTGCGCGTGGAGAACACAGGGCGCCTGGATCGCTCCCTTCTTCTGTGCCTGAGCACCGTCGAGTCGAGGGTCGGATGCGTTTTGAGGCTCACCCCCTGCTCACCTTGGCTTCAGAAGCAAAAGAACAGCCACACTGCCCACTTACCCAGCAGAAATAAGGGGGGCCTGTCTCGGGGGGGACTATGTCTAGTGTAGTTTGATCGCGGCTCCGTCTTTGACTCAGCGGACCATCACTTCGCCTAGTGGCATCCCTGCCTAGAAGCTACGGGCCTTCCCTATTGGGCCCAACACAGCGGTAACACATGGTCAGGGCATGCAAGGACACTTTCGCATCCGTATTACTATCTTAAAGTGCCCTGACCGGGCCATCTTCCGGCCTCCTCGCTTATGCACACAGCTACGCCTTGTTTGGACTGTACACACTTTTCGCCCAGCTTGGCTTGGACTTCGCAGCCGTGCACTTCTCTGACGCCTCCTTGCTCGGGAGGTCCCACTCTGACTCCCCCTCCGTCTCACCCATGTAGAAATGCTCCGTCAGATCCGCGAGGCTCACCACTTGGCCTGCATCCGCGTCGAATTCCTCCATGAGGTACTTCAAGAGCTTGTTCCTCCATGCCGGAAAGTTGTGGAGTTTCTGGCCCCTCAAGTTCGCCAGATCGCCCACAGCGGCTCTGAACTCTTCTGCATCAGGCACAGCTGCCCGAGGCAGCTCACTCTTGATGACCTCCTTCTCCTCCTTCGCGGCCGCCTCAGCCTTCAGGAACTCCGAGGTCGCCCCACCCGCCGCCATGATCTGCTTGATGGCTTTTCCCCACCATTGGCTGCCGTCAGGCAACGGGTCGACCGTCTCCTCCCTCAGCATATTGCCGTAGGCGATCAGCACCTGTTCCATCTGCTTGGCCGCGCGGTCTATCATGGCAGCTCCGGTCTGAACCTGGACCATGTTGGTATTCTTGGTGTAGGTGTACGTCACCTCCATGCCCGCCCCGCGGAAGAGCTTCTCATTCACCTTCTCAAGGGGCGCTCTCATCTTGCATTGGCCCATGTTCTGCACCAGGCGGTTCTTGAACTCTGGCTCGCTGTCGAGATGCCCTCCGCATACTTCTCAAACAGGGCTCTGATCTCACCCTCCTTGAATCCCTGCACGGGCACCTTAACCATTCGCTCCGCCGATGCCGATGCCGCGAACCACACTCCTGCCACCGGTGCTGTCTGCCCTTGAGCCGGTTTCCTGGCCTTTCGGGCTTCACGTTCTGTGGTGACACTGACCTTTCCGTGTGGCTGCCCGTAACAGGTCCATAGCGTCTGCATTTTCCTTTGTCAGGGCATCCGCCAGTTGCAACCAGGTAGGGGCCCACCTCACATGTGCACCCATCCTTCTCAGTGATTCCCGCACAATCACCAGGTCAATTGCAACTCTCTTGTCCCCCACTGAATTCGGGCTTGTAAATGTTTGCAAATGATCGTAAACAGATTTACAGTCAACGATGGCCTGGATGTTGAACTTCGGCAACACCAAATGTCTTTCCTTCAGATTGATATCCCCCTCAATCAACTCCCCAAGATGACAGGCTAGCCACTCTGCGTGCCCAAGCCCATCAGCCAGTGCTTGCGTTTCCCCCGCAAACGTTGACCCAACGACCCGCTTCAGTCTGTAAGAACGCCAGGCTGCCGGAGTCCAAGGTGCTGTCTTTCCGTCAGCCAAATTGCGATCCGTCACGCCTACGATGTAACCCGCCTGCGTCCCTTCACGCTTGGCTTTTGCAAAAGCCGCATCTGTGTGAAGGCACAGTCTCAAGTCTTGCAAGGGTACTGCTTTCACATGCCATGACAAATCCTGATACTGCTTTGCTCACTTCACCGCACGCGCAACTGTTCTGGCCTTCTCCAGGGTTGGTTTCGGAAAAAGCTGCTGACCCATGCTGACCTGTACTGCGAGATCTGGTCTCGTTTCCTTGGCCAACCACAGGGCTCCACCGAGGACACTCCGCAGGCTCTTGACCTCCTTGTCATTTACCACCTCTGTCCCAGGGGCCCGCTTTCTCAACTTTGGCTTCTCTAGCTGGTTCACGAAATCAACTTGTGACACAAAGATGATGTCTGTTGTCTCAGGACACTGTTTCAAATATGAGCCGCAAAACTTGCCCTCGTCCATCTGCCACTTTCGAAATGGAAAAGTCTGACGAAGCTTTCGGACGGCCTCATCGTAACTGGAACCCTTGCCTCCTGTCAGCACATCATCCACATGCATCCCAAGAACACCTCCCAGTCCATGTTCTGCCGTAGGGTCCTGCCAAAAGAACACACATGGGTCCAGCTTCGACTGTTTCCACCCTTGGACTTGCAAAGTGGATACAAATTTGCTGTACCAAAGCTGAGGACTGTCATTGAACCCGTACAGTGGTTTCACGACTTCAAACAGCGTTTCAGGGTGCACTCCGGGAATATTCACATTTCGGGGACACTTGAGGTATAACTTCCCTGCATCTCTCTTCAAGCAGTCTGCTTCCAGAAAAGCGCCTGTAACATCTCCCAGCTGCATCCTGAAACCACCGCTTGCTATCGCTTGCAGAACCACGAAGCGTCCGTTGGATGATATGGTGGGCGAGGCTGTTTTCCCCCCCTGATCAAATCGAACAGGTCCGGGTCCTTATCCCCTCGGGCAGTCCACCAGCCCTTTTATAATCATCCCACCATTATCGTCCTCCTTCTCCACCAGGACATATCGTGAGTCCACCAGACGATCGGGAAACTGCGCTGCTATCCGCCGGGATTCTGCAACCGAAAGAGGAACCAAGGCCTGCTTATTGTTGACCACATTGTTGTATTCTTTGAGAACACCAACATCTATTTCGGCTCTTGCCTTTGGATTCTGCCATTTGGAATCCCGCAAATTCAACTCTTTCCGTCCTCCGGCGAGCAACACATCGTCGGTGCCTGTACCAGCCCAGCAAACAAAAGATGCATCATCGTCCTCATCAACTCCGGGCAGCTCAGAAAGAGCTGTGGCTTGTCGTGCACTGTCGATACATCCAACGAACTGCGGGTCGGTGCCACTGCCAGTCTCTGAAATAGCTATAGGTCCCCGGCCACCGGATTGACTCGGGGGTGCTCTTGGTGGGGGCTCACTGCTCCCAACTCCCGGAACCGGAATTCCTGGTGGAAACCGTTGACCCCCAATAAACTGTGGCTCTCCGGTCCGCATTCGCTTGCTTTCTGGCTCCAGGCCAGTATCGTGCCTAGGCACGTTGTCTAGCCGATCAGCTCGCTCTATCTCATCCGGCACCGCAGCCCGAAATGACTCAGGCAACCCTGCAATCTGCTCTTCCCATGACTGCTGACTTCGGCTTCCGGACGACACCCATTCTGATTCTCTGCCGATGGGCTGCGATCCCGATCCAGATCCGGATGATGAAATCGGAACCGCATGCGGTGCCACAGGAGGAGCCTCTGGCTGACTCACCCCTTCTGGCCGGCAGTCAGGCACTCGCTCGGTTTCCGCATCAGGGGGCGTTGAGCCCGGCGGATATTCTGCACTCGTGATATCCAGGAAATTCTTCTGATGGGGGTTAACCCCTCCAACTTCTGGGAACAGATTTGCTGCTGCTGCTCTAAAATCCCGAACCAGGAAACGGTCTGCTTCTCGCTCTTCCCCTGTTCGTAGTCGTAGCTGTTCTGGGGAACACTTGATGACCCTGGCATGGCAACCCAGTAGTTTCCTCCAGCTAGTCCAGCAACAATACCGGGGCCTCTCCATCTGGCATATCCCCTTTTTCCTGGAATACCACGACCTCTGCGCCAAACTGCTACCTGGTCGCCATTCCTGAATTCCCGCAGCGGTCTCGGCCGAGTGTTCAGAGCGATTCTTGCAGGTTTCGAATCCGCACATTCCAGCACCGCCTGTCTGGCCAGCAGGCGAATTCTATTTGCTCGAGCAGCGAGGTCATCTTCAATATTGCACTGTTTGCAATCGGATTGGGGTTGTCACTTCCAATCAGATCATCACCCGGGATTTCTGGGTCCCTCCCTAGTACTATCTGAAAAGGACTGTAACCACCCCGCCGCATGAGCATGTTCTTTGCCTCGACAGTGATATCGACGCATTCCAACCATGCATCATAGTCGGCCGGTTGGTACTGATCGAGCACCCGTTGCAGCATGTCTTCAAAATGACGTCCTTGGACCTCAACATTTCCAATTTGCTCATGCGCTTCCCCCGGAATATCAAGAGGCGTTGTTCCATCTCTTTCCAGAGCATCAATGAAATGTTGCCCAAGATTGCATCTGGACGCATCAAACTTAATGAAACGTGGCCTCCCATATGGCTTTGTCCAGGATTGTCTATACAGCCGCCGGATGAGATCTGAAGATTCTTGCTCTCGAAAGGGCGTCATTTGCTGCAAGCCACTTGCCCGGCACACCCTTCTTCCATCCCGGCAACTGCTTGGCATCCAAACCGATGTATCTCAGGGGTGCGATGTCCTTCGGAACAGTGGATTGTTTAACTGCTTTGGGTTCTCTTCGGGCGGCGCAAGTGGCACATTCGAAAGCTTTCACCATTTCTAGCACCTCCTCACTCGCGCCACGATGTCTCAGGATCCTGAGCATAGCCGCAGTGCTAGCATGCCCCAGATTGACATGCAATTTCTTCACCGAGTTCTCAATGCACCTTCTCTTCTCTCCCTTGATTTCTTCCATGGCCAGCACATGCTGTCCCGCCTGCTGCATTGTCTCGTCCAACGCTGCTCCAGCCAGGATTTGCCGCACCAGCGTCTTCGGATACACCTGGGATTGCACGGATCTCTGCTGTCCCCCCGATGCACCCTCGATGATCTGGTGTTCGTGGTCGCCTGAACATCTCAGCTTCTCCAGTTGCATCGCAATCCCAAAGGACGACGTGACGAAACCCCAGCACCAGCTGCCACGCCTTTGAAGACTCGATGACAAACTGACGGCCGGCGTTCACTTGTTTCAAGGCGGGTTTGCAACACCATATAACCATACGTCTGGCCTCATCCACTTCGGACAGAAAACCTTCTTGGTTGCGTCGTTTCTCAAACGGTGTGAGGTTTTGAATGCGAGACAAGGGTCCGGGGACATGACAAGTAGGTCCGGTTCCTCCACCTCGATCGCATTCTCCACCATTCGCCGCTGCCTGGGATCTCTCCAGTCCCAGCCATCGCTGAGATCGTAGACACCCACTGACTCATAGCCCGCCTTTCCAGCCTCATCTCGAAACCGTCCAGGGCAGAACAGCTCCATCACGGTCTTCTGCTCCTCCTCAGCCGCCATCACCTCCGCAATCTGACCCTGAAGATGCTGCCTCTGGTGACGAGACATCACGCCCCAGGCGCCACCCTCGTCATCGTCAGACTCTTCCACCAGGTTGCCCTCGTCCTCCTTGACCGTGGTCAAGTCGCCCGCCAGGAAGACGTGAGCTCGCTCGGTGACGCCGTCCATGAGGTCCAGCTGGTAGGACCCATCCGCCGGCTCCACCATCTCCACCTTGGCCCCGATCCTTGGGAACTCAATTTCTGGTGACCAGGTTCATGTTCGCCCCCATGGCCTTCAGGCATCGCTTGGAGACCAGGAGCGGGACTTCTCCCGGCACCACGAAGAAGACGATGAAGATCTCCTTGCCCTGGATGAAGCGCCTTGCCGATGGCCTCGTCCACCGACCCATTCCCATATCGGAATTTCTGTGGGGTGAGCGGCAGGTTCTCAATCTCGTGGCCATACTTCGCCAGCACTGTCCGGTGTCTCTCCAGGGTCAGCTCTCCAGCCAGGCCGCGTCCGCAACCGGTATCCAGCACCCCGTGCCCGGCTTGGTGAGTGAGGAGGCATTGCGTTACTCCGTCCTCAACCTCCTCGTCCACGCCATCGCGCGCCACTCTCACCTCATTCTGATTCACCGGCAGTGCCTCCGGCTGATTCACCTCCTCCTGGAAGGCCTGATGGATGTGGTCAATCTCCAAGAGCACGTCCGATTCCGGCTGAGCGGCCTCGTGCTCGTCCTCCAGTTGCACGTCCTGGCCATCCCGCAAGAACGTGCCCTTCAGGTAGAAGATCGACCTCCCCGTCCACAGCTGCCCCACATGCATTCTTGCGCAGCCCGCCTCCCTCCAGTTGCTGACATACTCAGTCTCTTCTCCGTTGCTCAGGACGATGACGGTCTTCCTCTCCGAGGTGAGCTCATCCAGATCCACCGGGCAGCTCCACTGCCTAGGCGCGTAGAGGGAGTGCCGTTCTATCCGGTGATGCCGAACCACGCATCCCGGCTTCGTCTCCCAGTAGTCGCCCTCCTCGACAATGGACTCATCCCATGGTTCGTCCAGCTCAACCTCGGGGTCCTCCGCCACCTGTTCCTCTTCTTCGCCACCCTCCTCCGTGCTGTCCGGCGCCTTGGTCTCTGGCGCCTTCTTCCTCCACGGGGGCAGCGGACGTCCTGGCCATTCTCCGGGGGGCGGTTTCCGATGGGAGCCGCCTTGAGTTGAAATGGACCTTCTCTTCGGACCACCCAGCATGGCCATGAACACGTAATTCACCTTGCTGGGTCCATCTTTCCCAGCATGTCCTCCTCCACTGCCGCCAGTTCGTCGGGGGCAGTTCCGGCTGAAATGACCGACCTGTTTGCACTTGAAACACTCACCCGGGCCTCCAGCTTCTTCACATCCGGTTTGGCCTGGCGGCCTCCCGATGGCAGCCCCTCTCCTTGTTGATGCTCGTTCTCGTCTGTTTCCAACTCAGGAGAACCTCCACCGCGTCCGACTCCTCGATCGGCTCGTGCCCGTCGAGGATCAGCTCCACCGGGTCGAAGTTCTCGGCCGCCAGCACCGCTTGCTCGAAAGCAGGGTCATCCACCATGACCTCATGCTGCGCCTCGGACGCCTCCACCGCATGGACGTGCTCCCGTCTGGTTGCACCCAGCCCTTCCGGATACGTAGTCCTCAGCAATGCAGCGATGTCCTTCTCCTCGTATGATTGCCTCGCGGCCGCGAGGACCACCGCCTTGCGCTCCGGGGCGATCTTGGCGAACCTCAGGAGCAGATAGCCCCTCGCCACACTGGGAAAATTGATCCCCTCGGCCTCCGCTGCCGCAAAGGCCGACCTCACCCGACCCGTGAAGACCGACGTGGACTCCTGCTTCTTGACCTCCAGGCCAAAGATCCAGTCCAGCACCTCCCCGGTGCGGTCGTGGGCCTCATCTTCCGGGAAGCGGTTGTCCAGCACCTCGTAGATGATGTCCTCCCCACCAGCTGTCTCGAGCTTCTCCAAGCCGACCTGGTCGAAAGACCTCACCGCCGTCCCATCCAGAAGTGTGAACAGCAGTGGCCCAAACGCCTCCGCCGGCATGCCCTTGGCCTTTTGCACCGCCAAGAATGCCCTGCTCCAGCGCTTCCACCGCTTCCACTCCTTAGTCGGGTTTTCGCCATCTCCGCTAAACCTCCTCTGGTTCTGACCGCCGTCCTGCCCAGACGACAGCATCTCCAGGGCTCTCGCTACCAATTTGATCGCGGCTCCGTCTTTGACTCAGCGGACCATCGCTTTGCCTAGTGGCATCCCTGCCTAGAAGCTACGGGCCTTCCCTATTGGGCCCAACACAGCGGTAACACATGGTCAGGGCATGCAAGGACACTTTCGCAGAACAGCCACACTTGTCTAGTAGTACGTAGGTCTAGGCCCTCCCCCTCCCCCCAATGTGTTCTCCCAATTTGAGCGCCCTCAATCAGAAAAACTCACGCCCGCTGAGGCCTGCAGCCCAATCTAAGCCCACTTACCCAGCAGAAAAAAGGGGGGCCTGTCTCGGGGGGGACTATGTCTAGTGTCGGAACGCAACAAACTAAATGGGAGAAAGGGTGCCACTGAACAACACTGTTCTGCAAGCTTCCAAACTTTGCCAGACGCTGCACCCGCGCAAATCCGAGGCGCTGTCAGGCAATGCCCCGTTTCTTGGTTCACCACCCGGTCCTCCTGCGAAGCGCTGAATTCTTACGCCGTGACCCTGGTCTAACATGTGGGACCTAGCTCGATAGTTCTTGGATGTGCAAAACAAGCCGGGGACAAACCCCACACCGAATTGCTCGTATTGAGGGGAGTAAAAAACCATGGTCTAAGTTTTACAACGGGGATATGGGAAAAGGGAACATGGGGCCGAGTGCACCCTTGCGACTAACCGAGGTAAACAGGACGCCTGGAACAAACGCCCACAAAGTGCCCAACGCGTCCACCCCAAGCCCAAATCTTTAAGCAGTTGGTTGTCAGTGCAAATCCGCCTACAATCTTGGGACCTTGAATCAAAAGCGAGCCAGTTTTCCGGTCCGAAACCTTGAGCTCCTGCCCCATGGGAGGCTCCCCCGGCTCAAAAAAAAGACAGTGAAGGAGCCGGGCCAAAGCAACGGACGCGCCTGAGGACTCCAGCGCTGGTGGGTGTCGTGGCAGGGCGCTGCCACAACGGAGCTGCCGGCCTAATTGAAGGCACGTGGAACAACAGCCGGGGGAACCAAAGGAAGTCGTTTCAGAAACCAGCGGAAACCCACAGAAAAGAAGAAACATGATCTCCATGAGGCGCCAGGGGCGCCTGTGGTTTGAGGCTGGCCGTACGTCTCAAAGCCACCCTCTTGGGTTTCGGAACATCCCACCAGCTGTTTTTAGCGGGATGTGGTCCGGAAAACTCACCAAAGGAGGGCTCCCAGCGATTTGTCCAGCCAAATGAGGGGTGAAGCCCTGAAGATCACATGGTCTACGGGGCATAGGAGTCTGTCAGGAAAATCTTCTTCAACCCCTGGTGTTTTTCGCTGAGCCCCTTGTGAGATATGCGATTTGCATTTTTTGCTGACAGCCTTTCAAGCAGTCCTCCAAGCACCCCTCCAGGAAATTAAGTTGTTGCTGTTCCATCGGTTTCGAGTGAGAAACTCAGACTCAACGGTCTTAAGAATGACATGCTTCCCCCTCTTGGGCATGCGATTGTTTGTAAGCCCAAATGGATTGGTGAGTCGCCTTGGTTGTTTCTGGACCATGTTGCCATTCGCGCCTGCCGCTCCCAAATGGACCGGCATGACTGCCGGGTCTTTGACCAAAGCGTTGTCTTCAAGTCGGGGGGCCAAGGTTTGAATATGGCCCGCCACATCCAGGCACAGGCCGCTGAAGTGGTTCTGCAGAAACACCCCCGGCACCTTGCGGAGAAACTGGTCACCGGCCCTCCAAGTCTAAGCCATGACCCTAACCCCTTGGCTGTTGGCTCTACCAAATTGGTTAAAGGTGTTTACAGGCCTTACGGGTGACCCCCAATCTGCGAAGCTGGGCCAGTTGGGGGCTGTGGGCGCTGCTCCTTTGGGAAATAGAGAGCGAAACTTATCGAAGACCACCACCCGGCCGGGATACAGTTCCAACTGAATCTGACTTGCACACATGTCCCTCCCAGGACAAATGAAAACAAGTGTATTTTACCGTATGTTGGATCTTGGACAGCCTTTACATCAGTCTTCCCCATGGTTCCTCAATCATAGTTTAACTTTTGATTTGGGGGAGCTTAGGTAAGCTGGTCAAGGGATGTTCAGCCTGTGCCCGGGTCATTTGAACAATGCATGAGGTCCACACCCCAGCAAACGTATTCGTTGTGGGACGCTTTGGGGGCAGGATCATGCACATGAATCCGAAGCTCCAAAACGGAGTGTCAGCCAATGTCAGCCAAGTGTCCTCAAAAAGGGGATGGTCAAAACCACTGGTCCCTGGTAGACTTGTTCCCAGAAGTGAAAGATCCCCTCTTAAATGGTACGCCCTCCTATTGCCAGAATCAAGGGAAAGGAGGTTGTTGATCCTGCGTTCCCATCAGCGCCCGTATCGCTTCCGGAGTGCCGAAACAAGTCGAGAATTGGCTCCCGCAAAGCTGGGAAAGAAAGAGAAACCGAAGCGTGAGCTTTCCTTCAAGGTGGCTTGTAGATCAGTTGCTTGACAAAGATGAAACAAATGTGGAAAACCAAAAGGCCACCAAGGTAGATTCGCTTTGGGCAAGCAAAGGCTGCATCGTTGATTCCCTGCAAATCGCAGAAGAAGGAACGCTCCGATCATATGCAAGATAATGCGGAAATGATGTGTTTCTTTACGTGCTCACTAAGGGAAGACCAAACTGGAAACACAACAAGTCAAAGGAGCGGATCTGGGATGGTTGCGAGGCATGAGGAACAACAAACATGGTTCTGGAGTGTGGCTGGAGTCATGACTCTTTGCGGTGTTAGGAAGGCAGTCCATGTGAAACAACGTGGGTTTGGGAGGAACGGGGATGCAGTTTGAGGAACAGTTGTGGGAATCGGGCCAGTGGACGCAGCCCGGCTTCTGGACATGCTTCCCAACCAGTGGCATTAAACAAAAATATGTTGGTCTTTCCAAAAAGGCAACAAACTCACCACAAGCCCTGGTTTAACGGGTCCGGGCCCTCACATTCAGATGGGGATTCATGTCCACCCACCACTGAGGTGGTTCCCAATTGGGATTCATAGACTCTGTGATGGTTGTCGCTATCAAAGCTCAAAGGATTTTTACCCTTTGTATAAAAACAAAAGACCGCAGACCATGTCTTTTAAGTGGATTTGGCTCAAAATAACCCAATACCCCCCCCCCCCACACAAAAAAAAACACACACACAGATCCGACCCCCCCCCCCCCCCTCCCCGCCGGCCGCCTGCTGCAGGAAGGGCCTCAGAAGCTTTGGGCTCTGCAGCCCCACCGCTACCAGGCCGTAGTCACTGGATGCCTACGCCGGACAACTCGCCGGACAACTCGCCGAAACAAAGAACCGCTTGGCAACCACCAAAACGGGGGCAAGCTGAAAATCACATGTTCAGATGTGTCATATTTACCCAACCTTGAACAAAAAGAGTAGATTTGGAGGAGACCCAGCCGACAGGTAGCTGAAGTGCTTTGGCGGTCAACTCAAATGTCGGTCATAGGAGTCATGTGACCCCCACTTGGCTTTTTCTGCGTTGAAGCTGATTCGGCAATCTGGGCGCTAAATAGGGGATCATGCCTCCATGGTGAGGCCGAGTCGACAGGAAGGGATCCCGGGCATCAGGGTCCTCAACCCCTTTCAGCATGTCAAAATTGTGGGCGACCCTAAAAATGGATCCTTTTTGTTCGGTTTCCCTTTTGCCAAAAAAAAGGTACCCTCAAACACGCACGACCACGCACACACACACACACACAACCACACAAACACAGCCACAAACACAATCCTAAACACAAACACACACATTCACACATACACACAAACAGCCTTTGGTCCCCTGTCCATTTTCAAATTACATGCGTTAAGTGCATCTTGAAACACACCACGCCAACCTTCCCAAACCCATTTCGCGTGTTTTGGGCACCTCCATTTTGCTGGGCGCGCTCGTCTTCCTACCCGAAGCCGAGGCCCCGCGGCCGAAGGAACGGGTCAGGGGTCGGGATCGGGTCGCCTTGGCCCTGGCGGAGGCGCGGCCGTTGTTGGCGCAGGCGGAGAAGAGCTCCGCTTGGGCGCCGCCCATGGAGTGCCCCGTCACCAGCAGCTGGCGATACGTCGGCCGAAGGAGGGCGCTGGGGATGGATTGATCGACTGGGAAAGGTCGGGAGATGCTGGGAGGTTTGGGGAGTTGATGGAAAAGCAAGCGGTTGGCTTTTGAAGAGATGGAATGCCGACATATGCCCAAATAAGGTGCGAAGGATAATGGATCCGACATGGTGAATTCGGTGGGAATTTATGTCCACCAACCATTCCAACCCTCCCAGCGCAAACATGGAACCTGTTTCAGGTTCCATGTTTGTTGTTCGGAGTTACTGAAATCAACAGCAAGCCATATGATAAATGCGAGGTCACGATGAATGCTGAAGGCAGTTGGCAGAAATCAGAAGATCTGATTCTTGGCTTTCTCAGAAAATGACCTAAAAGGCACCATGTGGGTACAAACATGTAGTGACTAAAGTTTCAAAACCGGGCGACCGGGATCAAAATGGAGAGCAGCCCCGATTTTCCGGCTTTCCGCAACTCACAGTGGGATAGGGAAAGCCATTAACATAATGATTCCAAACAAAGAACAAACCCGGTGACTTCCACCCTCTTTGCCCCCGAAACTTGGCCAAAAAGGGCCTGAAAAATGGTAACGTCCCAAGAGCTGCTCCGCAAAGGGGTCTGGAGCTCAATCAAACACTGCTGCATATATTTCATCTTCATATCGAGGTTCTTCGCTACACCGCAGACCCTGGCTTGATTTCCGATTTCCTTGCTCCAATTTCTTGACGGCTTGCAAAAGAAGTCTTTATTCACTTTGACAACTTCCTCGAGCGGATTTGCCTAAAACTGTCGAAACTTGCTATTTACCACCAAAGCTGTCTTCCCAGAAATTATCTCTATTTGCTTAAGTCCCCTCGGAAAAAAATAAAAAATAATAATAATAAATATGTCCAGTGGTGATAAATTCCTTTTACAACCAACAGGGCAAAATCACAAGTATTCTTAACCAAATGGAAGTTATAAACTCAGAAACTCGGAAAGTAAACTTGAAACCCCCTTGAAGTACCCCCCCGGCTCCCATCCAGTCAGCCAATTTCTGCGCCTTGGCTTGCCACATCTTGTTTTGGCACATACCCACATATCAAATTGATAAAATGAGGGTTTCCTAAGGTCGCCCCTCATTCTCTACGTCTGGATTTCAGAAATGAAGACTCTTGACTCTTTGACTCTTGGCTACTCAGCGCTGGGGTGGTTTTCTTTGGTTGGTGCTACCTCTCAGCACATCCCAAGGAAATCGGGAAGGTTTGCTTCCTCAAATGCGGCATGCCCCATTCAGGGCTCTGTGAGGTTTGCTTGGGCTCTTGTGTTATCTTGGTTTTACCTGATTGCAATTACATGGCCGTCTATTTGGTTCTGATTTAGTGGAAACCTATTGGTGTCCAGGAAAACCGAGTGGTCCAAAGGTACGGTGGGGTAGCAACTTCACCCCCTGGTGCCTCCGAGCAGAAGGGCAGCTTTGAGCGGATGGCCTGGCCATTGCGGCAGGGCATTTTGCTGCACATGTGGAAGGACACCGTAAAAAGCACAAGGCGGCAGCGTCCTGAGCAGGGGCCAGAATTCAGATACGACTTCACTTGCAAGGGCCCCCCCCCATTTTGCCATGGGTGCTCCCACTGAACGAAACCTGCAAAACTGGTTGGATTCATGCGTGCTTTGCAAGCAAATATGCATGAAGCGCACATCAACTTCTCAAGCCCATGTCAAGCAACACATATTTCGTTTGCAGCACATCATTTTGTTGGGTGCCCGCTTACTGACTGTGGGTCTGATTGGCGCACATGCCGTCCCCCGGCCTCATCATAGTCCTGGCCTGGGATGCCAGTGGCGGATTGAGTTCTTTTGGACGTGTCATCCTTCTAGGGATGCCTTCCCCATTCTTTCCAGGGATCCTTCTTTCTAGAAAACCTCCGGAAACCCAGGCGTCCATCTGTTGGAAAGAACGATGGTTGCAAAGAATGGCCTAGAATCCCGTTCTTTGCCTGTCCACCTTGCCATGGAATCCACGGGTCCCGTTGAAAGAGAAATGGTCTTCCAGAAGCCCCTGGCAGATTCCATGTTAGTGGACGCGAGTGTGATACCCTTTCAAACTCCCTTCGAGGTTCTCTTGGGATACTCCCCAAATCAACATGCGGGGGTCCATTGCCCAAAAGGGTCTGGCATTTGTGAACGGCAATGATCTTTCGAGATCCCTTCGGGTGGCTTTGTCCTGTTTGTTGGGGGGCTGTAGGCAGGCCCGCAGTTTTCCGGCGTCCAACCCGATTGGCAAACCGCTCTTCAGCTTCTGGTACCGAAGTATACCACCTCCGCTCTTGACCAACCGAAGAGTTGCTTGATTGGTCCGTGTCTTGGTCCACATTGAGGAGAAACCAGAACCCCCCCTCCTCAACCCCCTAAACTCAAACCCCAAACTCAAGAAATCAAGGTGAATTGTCACGAATCGCTTGTAAAGGAATTGCTTACATCCAACAACCCCACCTTTTACAAACAAACCTGGAGGAATTGCTTACATCCGACCGCCTTTACAAATCAACTGGATCGCCTAGGCTTTCCTGAGACGCCTCCAGCACGCGGCATCCGCCGGGTCGCTGCGCAGCATGGCCCGCAGCTTCTCCGCGAAGCCTCAAGGCGCTCCGAATCGAGCCGAAGCTTCACAGCTTGCTCGCAGTTTGCCCAGTTGTTCAGTGACCCTGGAAAAAAAGGGGGACCCTTTTTGGGGAGGACCGGATTTTTAGTGGGGCAGTCGCCAAAAAAAGGGGAAAATAATTGGTGCCACTGAACAACTGAGTTTGGCTCGGCGTCTGAAGGGTCTCGAGAAATGACCTGGATGGCCAGTTGCTGCTTTTTTCCAGCCACTTTAGCCCAAAAACCAGCAACAGTGACTGAACACAGCAGCAACTTGGCTATCTAGGGAAAAACCATCTGTTTGGTGTCCCCCCTTTGTCTAGGTCCTCCAGTAGAGAGGATAGACCAACTTTTGTTTTTCTGTAGCCTATTTTAGTAGGCCCCCAAAACAAGTGGTGAAAGGGCAGTGCTGGGGGACCTAGTTGTATTTGTTGGAACTTGGAACTTGGAACTTGGTAGTTTCTGGGGTGGAAATGCTTGGAACGGCTATGAGGTCAACCAACCTCCCATCCCATAGAGAATTGCAGGGGATTTGGTTTTTGTCCCTCTAGATAAATAACAAATGGATAGGTCGCACCCAAATAGTTTCAGCAGGGTGAACATACATGTTGTGCCATACAATCCCCTTGTGGGGCAAAGAAAATTCGCTCAACTCGAATGGGGGAAGAGTGGCTACTTTCACCCTGGAATGTTTATTTCATCTGAACCCATCTTAGGGTTTTGTTGAAAGGAAACCCGTCTTCCAACTCCAGTCAGGTTCCATGTTTGTGCTTCCATCTTCCGGTCTCTTCGCCCTCGCTTGCGAGATAAGTTGTGGTGATCATGGCAGTAGTTTCCTTGCTTTGGTGGTAGCCAATTTTCAAGCGGAACCATCGTGTGAAACCTACATGTAAGCAACACCATCTTACCATGGGCAAGGATATGCGAACCCTCCCACTGGAGGAACCTCCGGTGCCTCCATGTTGGCAAATCAGAACCCCCCTGTTGCGAAAACTGATTTGCAAATCCCGTCCCCTGTGGGGGGGGGGGAATGTACAAGGAGTCCCCGATTTGTCCATGACCACCCACTGGAAGGACTTGTAGCGGGCGGCGCATTTTGTGTTTTGGAGTTGGCACCCTAGTCATGAGCAAATCCCGGCTTGGCTTCGCTTGGGCTACTCGAGCATCCCTCGGAAGTTCGCACCTTCCATAGGCGAACCAACTTATTCTCATGATTCGCATGGTGGAGTGGTGGAGTGCTGTAGCGCAAGATGGCCGGCCAGAAAGGAAAATAAAAGACAGGGGCGAGACGTGATAAAACCGGGGCTGTGCGTGTCAGCAGTGACTAAAGAAGGACGAACAAAGGCCAAAGAGGGAAACCCCCAATGAGAGAGAACAACTTTGTGGAAACCAAAGCAATAATCTGCACACCCAACGTCAACACCGAAAGGTCAGACCCGTTGAAGCTTGAACAAAATATATATTTTTAGAATTCCTTCAGTGAAACTCTAGAGGGTATCATCTTTGGAGGAAAATCGTCTTCCAGGAGCCAAAGCTGTCGCATGTCTCCTGCTGGTGTTGGAAGGCTCCACACTATCATGGACCTCCAAAGGGGGCTACGGGGAGGGGGCCAATCGCCTATTGCAGCCTTAAGGCCCTAGTTGATGCAAGTCTCACCCAGGGATGGCACAAAGGCCCCATGGCCCGCGGCGGAAATATCCATGTTGCGCGGTTGCAGATAAGAGGCCATTGTGCACTTCCCTCTGCCCGCAAAAGTCCGTAGCGTAGATGTCCGCGTCATAGACCCTGAGACCAACCGGATTCGAAGTGGTCGAAGGCGCGAAAACACGGTGAACCAATTACTTGCCAATTGCAGCAGGGCAAAACAAACCTTCGTGCCTTTAAAGTGGATTCCAAAAAGATACTTTTTTGACCGGGGCTTCCGTGTTGGTCCAAACCTCATAAGAGATGCCATTACCGCATCCAAGTCTCCAGTCGCTGACGTCTGAACGGTCGCCTCGGGTTCGAACATCGAGGTGCCGTCCTCCATTTAGGTTGGGGTCAAAATCGCGGGACCCCCACTAATCGGATTCTTCGTGGTTCCCTTTCAATTAAACCAATCTTCGAAAGGATACCCAAGAAACACATCCACCCATTAACGGTCATCTGAACGGCGAGTACCTCAGCTGGCGAAACAATGTTTAAAAGCTTGCAAACTCTAGCTGCTAGGACCCTGGTAATCGTTTTCATGTTACCCTGGAGGATAAATGCTTTCTACCACCAATTCAGAGGGCAAACATGTTACATTGAAGGAAGTAATGCAGCCGGGATTTGTCTGAACATCTAGACCAAAACAAGAAATTCGGTCCGTCCCCAGCCTCTCTTGGAGTCTCGAGGCAAACCTGAACAATGGTTGCCCATGACCATGATTGCAAGTGCCTTGCCAATGGGCCAAGCTGGCCTTTACATGGCTCCAATGAGAATGGTCGTCATTTCGCACACATGAATCACTTCCCGGAAAGTGAAGATACAGTCCGCTTCCCTGGAAGCATGGAAGGAGTACCACATCTCTTATGGGCCTTGCCCCAATGGGATGGTCAACCGGGTCAACTGCCAGAGCTCGCATGACGTTTTGCAGCCAAGAGATTCACAACCTGGCTGAATCCCCTCCCTTCAGCTGGCAGTCCCCAAGATGCTAGGCCATTCTAGCCCTCGTAATCACCAAGCTGTGAATTGTAGGGTGGAAGGACACGCACCCTCCCCCATTCATGAGAATACGTGGGCATCCCTGAAAATGCGACTTTAGAGACTTGCATCGATCACGTTGATGAAGTCCATGGTCGATTCAACATAGGGGGCTGGGGGGGGAGGGAGGGGAGGGGGAGGGAAAGCCGTTATGAAGCCCTTGTTAAGGCCTTACTTATGTTGGGCTTGTTTGCGGCTTATTTGGGCTCCCTCCCCTTTCCCTCCCTCCCCCCCAGCCCCCATGAAAATACTTGGTTGCTGAACCCTATGCAACAAGTTTGACTTGTTGTGGGTGCAATGGCAAATCCAGTTTCCCAAAAAGTTACAGGCCAAAGATCCAACCAAATAGCCTGTACGGAATACACATACATCATACAAATTAAGTAAGCGAAAAACTAAGTGAGCGGAAAAAAAAGGGAAACAAAACATGTGGGGGAATTTAATGTGTGTCGATGTTCCCCTGTTTGGTCTGTTTTAATCGGAAACCAAAGGGAACACCACCTTTTGGTGGATCCCCAAAAAAAGGACGCACACCAATATGGATGCAAGCCGTACCCAGCGCATTTGTGTCCAAGGCTCTTCCCTCAAAGGCCAAAGCACACTCTAGGCTCCTGCAAGCAAGGACGTTCCGCTTCGAGTAGCAAGACCCAAACCACCCCAATGCTATAAATTGAAGACCTGCACTTCCTAAACTTTGGCATGTTCATGAAATAATCGCTAGTCACTACTCTTTGGAGCCCAAAGTAAACATGAACAGAACCAGAAAAGTCAAACAATATGCCAAGAAAAGTGAGGGGAAACAATTCACCCCCTTTTGCCTCCACAGAATGCTTGGGAAGGGGAAGTGATCAAATCTTCAACCGGCTGCTTTCTGTGAGTCCGTTCGCACGATGCCTTGCTTCAGACTTGGAGAAGCTCGGGTCTGTGTGCAGGGCAAACGGAAGGGGGCAACAGATTGTAGGGTACAACCTCAGGCTAACCAAGCTTGTGGACGAATAAGCTTAAAGGAAACTCTATCATTCAATCAACCAGGAGTTTCTTCGCGAACTTCGGGCGAGAAAAGCCGGGCACTTCTGCACATACAACCATAGCCACTACATGTGGGTGTGAGGTTTCGTGTGCCGGGTAATCAAAGGGACCACCAAAGTTCATTTGGCGGGCCTCGGAATTCACACCCATATCCCGCTTTGGGAGGTATTGCCTTGGTGTTGCAGGAAACGGCGGGCCAGTTGGAAACTTGCTTCAGTCGGCTTTAAAAACAATCCAGCAGGAAATTATGGCAATTCCGGCCAGGGTTTGCTTGTCTGGATGAAAGCAAAGCTTCGACTTAGGTCTGGATGTCTAGCTTGGCCAGAACTAGGCACCCTGCAAGTCAACTGGTTGCTGAATGAAACGCAGCAAGTAATGAAACCCAACATTTGCCACCAGGATTGAAAGGGGTGAGCAGCTCTGCTTGCAATGCCAAAGGCCTCAAGCTTGCCGACTCAGCAGGCAAGTTGGGTTGTATCCATGAAACACCCAAGAAGCTGAACCAAATAGTGCACGGAATTCAAGGGGTCTTTGATATTGAAGACCCAAACTTCAAATCTCGCTTTGGTCTCCTTGGATTCTGGTACAGGGCTGCATGGTCGTGGAAAATCACGATTGAGTCCTTGGCTCGCTTGTCTCCCCGTGTCTCCCCGTATCCATGGTGCTTAGCACCCTGAAGGAGGTGGGTCTTTTCTACAAATGAACGGAAGGAACCCGAAACAATGGGTTTCTCGCTTCCTGAGCGGACTGGCCCAATCAAAGCCTAAACTGTTGATTTACCACTAAAGCTTGACTTCCTGAAAAGTCTAAAGTCCGTGAACTCATGGAGTGAGGTCCCAAAAGGAGCTTCCTCTACAAATAGTTGTTTGTTGGGGTTCCATGTTCATCTGTAGGGGTCACTTCAAGGGTAATATTCGTAACACGGTTCTAAGACTTACTTCCTGAGTTGATGGGCCAAAAAAAGTTCAAACTTTCTGTTTACCACTAAAATGGTCTTCCCAAAAAGTTTAAAGTCCAGGAACTCAGGGAGAGACTAAACGTTGACCGACATCTGGCCCTAAAGGCAAAAATACGGGACCTCCCCCAAATCATTCCCTTCTGCTCGCCAGTAAAACACATAACCAAAAAAAACAAAAAACATCGAAGCCCAAATCCTCAGCCTCAGAACCGATTGAACCGATTGCCCCGCTTTAGACGTGCTTCTGCCAAAGGCTGTGGAAAAAGGAAAGAGGCGGGTTTTTCAACAACACAAAGGTCTGCTTCTGTAGCCGACTCTGGGGACCTCCCCAAGTACACCACAAGCCCTTTGAAAACAGAGGATGCTAAGTGATGTTGTTGTCTTTTCAAGGGGAACCCCCCAAACCAAAAAAAACAGAGACACAACACGCAAAACCGCATCCTCTCAGAGCCTTCCGGAGCTCCGAACAGCTCCGGAGCCCAAAGCTGTTGGAGACCCTTTCGAGCTTCCAGCTGCATGCCACGAACTTCCCCCCCCCATTTCGGGGGCTGGGAGTGACACCCAAACCCCCCCCCAAAAAAAAACATCTCTGGCATATTCCGACTGGCCACCCCCGACCTCGCGACCTCATGACCTCGCAAACTCCTTTTGCCAGGCCGCTCTGGTGGCCTTAGGCCTGGACCCGGCGTAGCCCACCAGATTCCAACCCCACCTGAAGCAGACCCGCCGCCGCATTCCATGCCGTGACCCGCGTCGGTTTGTCTTTTTCCTTTTTGTTCCTCTCTGTTGTTTTTTTCCTTTTTGTCTCTCTCCCGCATGCTGCACACCTTCCTGTTGCGTCTCTGTTGCTTTTTGACCATTTTGACCCCTGCATGCCTCCATTTTGTGGTCTCTGCGGCGTTTTGACTCCTAGCCACACAGCTCACCCTGCCGTCACTGAGACCTTCAGCCGTTCAGTCCCTCTGGTAGCTTCGGGAACCCCTGGCCTCCCAGGACAAAGACAAAAATCCGCGTTCCAAGCAAGCGGAGGTGGGCGAGCTGTTGTGGATGGCAGCCCTTGTTGTGTTTTCACAGGGAAATCAAAAGGAAAGCCACCATATGTGTGTATATATATATATATTCGTTTATTTATGTTGGGAGGATCCCTAAAAAGCCGAGCCACCCAGGTGTATTTCGGGACTTTCTTCTCCCGAGTCCTGAACCCAGGTGCTTTCCCAGCTCTTCTAGACTTTCATTCCTCATGGACTCGGTAAACTTGAAAGTCATAGCAGGGCAAAGAGGGAAACACAGAGTGCAACAAACAAATGGAGAGAGAGAAAGAGAGAAAGAGAGAAATGCACACACACACAAATGCAGAAACACAACTGGCTGGTGCATGGACCGCCCCTTTCTGCAGCCGCTGCTCACACGCTTGTCCCGTTGATGAAATCTTCAACTTCAGAGCAACATCACTGCAGCGACAATCAGCCGGCGAGTTGGCGACCTTCACAACATATGTTGAATCCCCAAAACACCCTGCGGCGCCTTTTTGACTCGAACAGGCTGGTGTACATGCTTTGCATGTTCAGGGGTCCGAAGCCATCAGCAAACTGACAAATCAACCCTGAACCCTCCTGACCGATGTCAACGAGAGTGGTCTTGGAGGAGAACGAGGTGGTTTAACAAACAAAACGCTACCAAGTTGGCCAGTGGCACCCTTACTGAAATGATGCGGAAACTGGACAAGTAAAACAACATAATATATTTATTGCATTTGCTTAAGCCGCCTGGACAAACAAAAATATGTCCAGTAGCGATAGAAACAGGGGAAATCAAAACATATTCTTAAGCAACTGGAAGCTTTCGGCAAGTCTCCTAACAAATCCTTCCGAGTTGCTGCAGGGCATCCACATGGAGGGTCTGCATCTGCGGAGCGTAGATTACGAAGGAGAAGTGGCACATCAAATAGGCCTGGATTCCCAGAACCGTTCCCGCTTGGCTGTTGTTTGCAGCCACTAACGTGCCATTTCACTTTTTGATTGCTGCTGACCCCTCTGCAAACAGGTTTCTAACTTCTTGTGGGTCCATGGAAAACCTCCGACCTGTTTCACAAGAAAGGCAAAGCCCAAAGATCCAACCAAAGAGCCACAACGCTTTGTCGCTGGACCACCTCCTTTTGGCGAACTCTTCCCACCCGCTAGGCCCAACGTTGGTAAGCAAGGCCTCTCTCGGAACAACCTCGTTCCGAACTTAAACGCCTGGCCCGCAGGAACGCAGGAAGGCTTCTGATCTTCAGTTGCCCTGAAGGGACCCAGAAACAAAAGGTTGAACCTGTTGGGGCCATAACTAACCATGGGCCGAATGGGCGAAACCAAAAGGTCAAAAGGTCGGCTTTGGGCAAAAAAACGGCATTGAACTGCAAAACAACTTCCAGGTCCGTCAGTCTCGCGCAATCTCTCCTGGCCAGGGGTTGACCTGTAAAACGAAATGGGCAGTGCGGACACGGGTTGACCAAATACCCAGGAAGCTCAAGGCACCATGGCACCCCGACTTGCGCACCCACTTAGCCGGCATTCCGAATCAAGGAGTTCCACACAAAAGCAAGCCTAGGTGTTTGTGGAAAACTGCTGGTCACTGGTAGATGACAGGAACCAAACTTCTACCAGCCATCAAATTTCAACCGAGCTGACCTCAACGGACACCTTTTGGGCAAATGCAAGTCCAGCCCAGTGTTTTTGGTAGGGGGGCGGTTGTTGGCCCCTCCAAAAGTGGTAAGCCTCACTAAACCCAGGTGGACCCCCAAAAAAATAAACTGGGGTTGATTAATATGGGGTCAACAGTATGCATCTTCTCCCAAAAAGCTCCACACCATGGAGGTCCCGAAATCCCTCTATGGGTCCAAAACAATCCCCTCTATCTCTCTCTCTCTCTCTCTCTCTCTCTTTCCGGCCTTCTGTAGTCGGCTCAACTCGCTGAACGCTTTGGTCTCCTCAGCGGCAGTCAAAGGGCCGACTACATGCGAATAGAAGAAACAAAGAGTCAGGCATGGCCAGCCACTACCATAAGAACATAGTACATGGTACTTTACTTACACCATGCGGATGGTGATAGAACAAGCGCATGTTCCTTGTGCGTAGTATTGTAGCGGCTTGGGGTGGCGGGTTCTCTCAGAATCATGCTGGCGGGTTAACGGAACATCTTATTGAAGTACACCCAGCTTCGCCCAACTTACTGGAAAGCCTCCTGTGACCGGAGCCTGTAAACCAACATCAAATTGGGCTTGACTTCAGGCCAAAAGCTGCGCAATAAAATAGTCAAACGTCAGAGGGCAGCGCGCACAATGGCAACTACGATTGCTTGAAAGTATACGACACGACCTCACCGTGTTGGTTTTGTCCTCCTCTTCTTTGTGGACATGCTGGAATGGTGCCATCTACTTTCACCCTGTTGCAAACATTTACATCAAACACGTGACATGACGACTACCTCTGCTCTAGGGCAGTGTCAAGCCCTGATGTTTTCCCAAAGCGCGTCCATTGCTTCCCAACCACGGGGAAAAATTGCCTTGAATATACCCTCCCACCAATTAACCTTTCACCTCACGTTTCGGGGTCCTGGAAGACCATTATCCTTTCAAAGAAACCCCCTGTCAGGTTCCATCTTAATTGCTGGGAGGGTATCACTCACATGATGGATGGTTTACAGCTCATATCCGAACAATTGTTGCCTGGTGGCAGTGGTTTCGTCCTGCATCTTTCCATGGCTGCGTCTGCAAGGGTTCCACACCATTTCCGTTAGCCTACTCAGCAATCCACGCACCCCAGGAAAGAGGACCCTGCAACTGCTTTGCACAATGTCCAACACCCGAAATGGCGGGATCTCGAGTACAGGGCCTACATGATAGTGAGCTTGGTTTACCACAACATCGGCAGAAGACTGAGATATCCGATCTTAAGCCGTCCACACTACCTCATTTGACGTAGCACATTGGCCGTTTGGGGCCCTGATTTCCAAACATGGGCCACAATAGAAAACCCAGGCGGTCGAAAGATCCGGAAAGGAGCAGTCTGACCCAGAAATCTTGCCCGAAGAAACTAAAACTCACCTTTGGGGCCCGAACCCTGATTGAGGGGGAGCTAGGGTGCCTGTTGACAGCCATTTTTTGCAGCAGATTTACAACTTGTGCTGCTGCCCTCATGATTCGTCGGGGTTGCCCTTCAGAACTCACCCTTCTAAAGCCTGCGAAACAAATCCCCAGTGCCCTCCTCTTGCATGGAACCACAAAGGGCCCTTTTTTAGAAGACACTGTCTTCCAGGATCTTCTCAGTCAGTAGTTCTTTGCCCCGAGTGAGGTGGATCAAGAACTTGATTTCCGAATTGACCGAAGCTGCCATTTGCTGTCCACTTGCAGCCATGCCACGACGTGCAAGTCCTGGCTTTGCGGCCACGACGTACGAGTCGCAATGAGTTGGGTTAATGTGGACCCCGGATTAACAAACCCGTCCTGCTAGCGAGTGTTCCCATTCAGAAGTGGTCCGAATCCCCACTAAGAGTGGACACCCCCCTATTGGTAAACCACGGGGTTTATCAATCCGGGGTTGACATTGCAGTGGATGGGAAACAATCCACTTAGCGCCCGGCTTTTCAACCATTCAAATCGTGTGCCTGGATTGGTTCCATCCGTGGAACTTGTTTGAAACCCTGACGACAAAGAAGGCGCCGGTTGGAGGGGAGCCCCGAGAGACCAACTCAAAAAGCCCATGAATTTGTATCTAGGTTCTTTCCGAAAAGTTTAGGTCCATTGTGTCTCATTCTCGGAACGCTCGACCTTACAGGAAAGGATCGACCTTTTTGGGAAGGACCTAACTTCTGGGATGCCTCTGCCGGTATTCAAATTGCAAATGGCATCCTTGTGGCTTTAGGCGAGGGGGGGGGGGTGAGTGGCTTTCCTATGCGTTCCTCGTAGGATTCTGGGTCCGGCGAGCTGCAAGGGAGGGATGTTGGGGGGCCTTTCACCGCCCTTTGAAGACCTGATCCTTGGCTCGGATCACTTCGCCGCTTGGATTCTCAAGCCTCGCCTCAAGCCTCGCTGCCTCGGACCACCGTTACTGCTGTGTCTCATGTCAGGGTGGTTCTTTAGGCCCGCACGCGCAACACGGGGAAGGCTGGTTCGTGGGGAGACGAGTTTGTTCCCAACGATGATCAACTGGGCTGTTCGAAGGCAATACGCAAAATCCTTATCGTACGGAAGGGGTCGTCGTAGTGGCTTTCTATCACCAGTTTCGTGCGCAAGTGTTCATTGTGGATATGGAGTCTCTAAGGAACAATCCCCGTTGATTCATAGAGCTCTGGCTCCTGATTTCAAAGGGATCCGGATAGGTTGCAGTTGGCGTTTGCCAACCTGTCCTTTGCCAGCAGGGTCCTCGGCTTTTCCTGAACGGTCCGTTTCCAAAGGAGATCCGCTCGTTCACGGCAGCCTTCCTTGTTTTTTGGCAAAGGATCCTCCAGAAAAGGTGCAGCTGGATGGCTTTTGAGGACAATTTTCGGCATTTGTTTGAGCATCCATTTTTTGGTCCAAGCAATTCTCTATACCTCATCTGTTCAAATTTGAGAACTGTACTTCTAGAAACGGTCCAAGACTTTCCCTCCTGTTCCCCTGAACTGTTGCCACATCTTCCCATGCGGGTGTTAGCCAAACATGCGGCTCTTTGCCTCCAACAAAAAGAAACAAGAAGGAACCGAACCGAACAATCTCAAACACCTACCAAGAACAGAAAAATCGGCTCGGAGCAAAGGAAATTGTATTTTCCCACCGTTCTCCCCTACGATTCTGGAAAGTACCACTTGTGATTGCAAAAAGGGCCGGCCTCATGGCTACTTCAGATTAAAGGGAGTCTCTGGTAGCGCAGAAGCTTGCCCAAAAGCCACATTTCCCGAATTGTGTCCCCCTCCCCCTTTTGGCTTCAACTCCAGCATGGGATTTTCTCAAGATGGCGGACTCCTGTTTGGTACTTCCAGAGAAAACCAGAAGGAAACCAACCATTTTACTTGGCACACATCTGAGATATATCGAACATCATACCTAGGTCCTCCAGTGGAGAGTAGAGAGGTTAGAATAAGGGTACCCTTTTTTCTGCTGTCTATTTTAATAGGGGAACCCTCCCCGAAAAAAGGGGTGAAAGGGGGACCTAGATACTTATTTCGCCTGCCCCGAAAACGCGAGTTGGCCAAAAAACCGCAGACCGCCGGCGCCTCAGGGTTCGAACGGGCGAGGTGGTGTTTCAGCGTTGCCTCGTAGGCGGTGTGCCTGAGATCATTTGCTCAGTTCAGACCGACTTTTGAGCGGGGTTCTAAGGCTCACTTCCCGAATAAATTGGTCAGAAGAAGCAAACACTTTGTGTTGGCCAGTAAAATGTTGGCTTTCCAAAAAGGGATGGTCCAACAAAAAGTAACCAAACTTTGTGTTGGCCACTAAATTTGGGCTTTCCGAACAGTGTGTAAAGTCCAGGAACTCGGGAAGTGAGAAGGGCCATTGCAGGTAAATGTTCACCGTTCCTTTTGCAAGCGCCACTCAAAATGATCAGCACCCACAAAGCAAACACACCTCAAATTGGGGGTGGGGTGGGGTTCCTCTAGTTGGCACAAAGCGCCCACCTGCAACAAACATCCGAAGCCTAAAAAGAAATTGGGTCCCCTGCAGCAGCAAGAGCCCACCGCGCAGAATGCCACCAGATCCGAGCAGTTCCGCAAGCAAATGCGCTGGCCAAACAGGTCCGGCAGCCGGAAGAAAATGAACTGTTGCTACTTGACTGAGACGACCGAAAGAAATAGGGCACAAGAGCGAAAGGGTCGTCTACTTTCTTGGCTACAACATTCATGAGACCATACCTTGGTTGACAATGGAAGGGGAGCAAAAAAATAAATTTTAGCAGTTAAGTGGGGATTTGCCACTTCACCACAATAAGCAAAAATGTAAAATGCTTCCCAACAACAACCATGATACAAGGTTTTCCCCGGTGCCCAAGGCAGCAAGGCCATGGAAGCCTAGGCTACATACCAATCCCGTTTTGGTTTCCTTCGGAACAAAAAAAGCTCAGGGCTGCTTAGCACCTAGAATTAGGCCACAGTTCCGGGGGTTGGGGGAAAACTACGGTATCTCTCCATGACAAGGTCGGATGGTATCTGCATGGTCCTAGGCCGCCCCTCGACCGGGAAATCAATGCATGCCAATGTGACAAGTGGCAATGTGGAAATCAAGGCACTCCGATTTGCAACCAGAGGAAAGCAGCTAGTTCCCGAGCGGGGCGTCTATACATTTTTCTTGGTCAACATTAAACCCTAAACCAAGAGTTCATTTCTGTTCAACCATCGGGTATAAGCCGGGCAAACATAGATGCTACCACACGTCGGCAGAACCAGTTCAGAGGGACACTTGAAATGCTGGAGTTGGCCTCACTTTGAGTTGATCTGCAAGAATAACACCACCAGATCCTCCAACCCTGCCCCGCGCGACTAAAGTCATCTTCTCCAGTAGGCAAGGTCCAGCACCTCTTCGGATTCCGCGGCGATCCAACGGCCCCCACTTTTCGGCGCAAGGGGCCCCTCGATCCACCAGAAGGAGTCCGCCTCCGGATCCCGCGCCGAGGCCTGACGAGCTGGGTGTCCCACAGGGAGTGATCATTCTGTGCAAACAGTTGTTGCCCGTTTGTCCGAAGCATCCGATCCCAAAGGTTTTCTGGATTGGACCAAACTGGGTGAAAAGTTGCAAATAGATTGAACCCGAAAAGGCTAGGATCGTCTTTTGGGACCTCTTGACATATGGACCAAACCGGTTGAAACCAACAAATCCTTCGCTTCAAGCGCAGCCCCCTGTGGTCGGACCCCCCAGTGACGCCGAAGAGCGCGGCAGGGAGAGACGCTGTGCTCATGGAGGTTGTGCTCGGAGAGCTCCATAAACTCCATCCTCGGCAAAAACAGAAGATTCACATGGATCTCGTGCACAAGAATGCCCTGAACATCTATGGCATCGGCAAATAAGCTTCAAACGTGGACATACAAATATACATATATGTACACATATAAATATATATGTATAATTATATATATATGTGTGTGTGTGTATTTGCCCCTCCCCCTGACCCACGCCTGCTGCTTCTGTAAGGGGGTCAAGTCGCTTTAGACAAATATTGCCAAAAAGGGGCTCATTTCACAAGATTGGCAGACTGTCGCCAAGATTATTCATTAAGACCTTGCCACCCATATAAATAGCATTTGCTCTTCTACGTTCTGAACAAGTTGTCAGTGGTATTCACGGTATTCATCCTTCTGACTCGCTCGATTGACTGCACAACTTCTCTGTTGGGGTACCGGGGCAAGTGTATCAAACAAAAAGGCAAACCATACCTCTTCTGCTTCGCCTACACATCATCGGTTTCTCATCTCAACTGATGTGCAAATCCTCTCCGTCTGTCAGCTCACTAGGAGAACTAATTTCCCTGAACAAAGTAGGTTCTGCACAACACCTGCTGAAGAGCATGCAAAACACTGGCATTGACATGGTTTTCAGTGTCCAAGGGTTGGTGTGGAGTTGTTTCAGTCAATAAAACACATATCCACCACGCACAAGTCGCAAAGGGTAATAACGTGCACACCCAAACAGGAATGACTGAAAGCAGACGCTTCAATCAAAGCGCTTTAACACACTTTTCGATCTAAGAATTGCCAGGACTCTAGATCTTGAAGCTTGAATTCAGTATGCTACCCACCAAAGCGCTTTAAAGCGCTTTAATCATAAATTCAAGATTCACAAACTAGAGTCCTGGAATTCTTGAATCTAGAATCTTGGACCCCAAAGTGTTTTAAAGCGCTTTAAATCGTTTTGGTGGGTTGTGAAACTGGATTCAAGATTCAAGATCCAGAGTCCTGAAAATCTTGAATTTTTAATCCAAAATTGCTTTGAAGCGCTTTAAAGCGTTTTAGGTGAACACAGTCACAGTCAAATGTCAGCAAATGCGGGCATAGTGAAATGCTCAAGATTGGAGTGCCTGAAAAGGGGGTGGAAATCGCGCCAAAATACTGCAAATACCGTCGACTTCTCTCGGGGCGTGGGTGTTGGGGGGGTACTATATTTATGTGAGCCATTGTGAGCCGTGGTCGAAACTTATGTGGGGCCATGGCGACCAGCTCTTGCAACCCCAAGTAGTTAAAGCGGAGCTTTGACCATGGCACGTCTGCTGGGTGGCTTCCTTTGCTTGCATACCCCGCCTCAAAACGACAATCCCATGAAGCAGCAGGTGTGACGGCTTCAAAATGCTGCAAATGGACATGACTCAAGTTTGCCAACACCAGAAAGTAGGTTTGATATAGTCTGTAGCCTGTATCTAGTGAACCTTAAAATCGCGTGATTGCAACAAAGAGCTGAGGGAACACAACACTACTTAACGCAAACAACAGGGTAAAAGTATTCCACATCCACTTGCACTCGGTGCTAACCTGGCTGGTCTTTGGTGCGACGAAATGGCAATGGGGAAGAGCGACCCCAAGAGCTCTAGAAAACAGCAGCAAAGCTAGGCCGCTAGCTTGCGACTTGTTTGAGCTTGCTTTGAAGTCCTATTAGCGACATGAAAAACCTACCCGCTACATTGTGGTTTAAAGGGAAACACCTGCAAGTAGTAGTTTAGTGACGCCCATTGATCGCACCCACCTTTTCTCTGGGTAAAAGCCGGGATGGCAAACATGAATCAAACGACTACCTATCCCGTTTGGTTTCGTGTTGGATAAACTTCTCAGACGGTTGCAATTTGGGTGGCTTTTTTTCGAGGGTACCCTCTTCGGGTTGGTTTTCCAAGGGAAGCCCAAAGGAAACAAATCATTTTGGCGGGTTCCAAAGTCCTATGTTGGGACACACCGATTTAATTGGGTATGTTTTTCTCTACTGCGCTCCACAAAATGGGTCCCCCCAACACCACTGTTTAACAAAAAAAGTGTGAAACAAAAAGTCGACACCCTCATTTCAAGCGCTTTTATCCGCCCAAATCCATTTGAAGCCCGGGCGCTGGGGGTGGCTGTACCCGAATTGCTCCGTGATCCATGCCACCGGGTCGTAGACCGGGACCTTCACCCGCCACCCGGGGCGGGAGCTCCTGGAAAAGTCTGCCCGACGCGGAGCTGCGAGACGTTCAGAACAGATGGGGCCCTGGTGTTTTGCGCATTTTTCCCGCGCGATTTGTGAGGCGTCCTTTCTTCTTTCACGGGTCAGCCATGTCAGTTGCACACTTCCCATGGGTCAGCCATGCCAGTTGCACTTGATCCATCACATACAGGGGAAACTCCAGACTTTAGGGGGCACGGTCTACCCAAATGACCCTGCCTGACGTACCTGGACAGCCATTCGAATCTTGCCCTATCCCTAAATTCAAGGAATGCATTGAACAAAATCGCAGGAATCTGTGAGGAAGGAGACTCCAGGCCAGGCAGTTGCACTGATGTTGGAGAGCTGGTTGATTGCCTGAAGCTTTGGCAGACTAAGCATCAACAAGAAAACTTGTAACTACGTTCAATGATTCGAGTATTTGCCCAAATAGCGGAACCTGAAAATGAGTTTTTCCATTGGTTTCCTGGATCTCTCGATGGGGGGGGTCCACCATCTTGAGAAACTCATGCTATCGCAAAAAAAAAACACGGCTTGGCCCACATCTAGGGTATTCCAACACTAATACTTTCTGACTCTGTTTCTGCCATACAAACATAAAATCCTTGAGACCACAAACGCCTGTTTGGAACCGCGAATAGAACCTCAGGACCTTGAACAACGACCTCCTTCGCTCGTGACAAAAGCCGGAGGATCGATCCTCATGTAGACTCGGAGCCCTCCGAAGCAGCCGTCCAGCCGGGAGAAGTCTCGCAGCGTTCCCTTCCTGACATCCGACTGTGGCAAGGCCCGGCGGCAACAGGCTCAACAGGCTCCACACTCCAATACCCCTGAAGTATTGGGGACATGAATAAGCTAAATGCCCCCTTGGGTCCCTAATTAGCATTCATGCCCACATTTTTGAGCCCCCCGCCCGAGACCTCAAACTGGGTTGGTTAAACAAAGCAAGAAAACTGTCCTTATATCTTTGGTGCTCAACACCTGGAAGTATCAAATCCATTCAAAGTGAATCTGATTCATGTTTCCAGGATTTTCCAGGTTTCGCATCCCGACAATCATCCCGACAGTCTAGGTGCCTCAGGGACCAAACATTTGCCGAAGCACAATTCAAGAGCATACATGTTTGGAGCTGGGCCCTTACAAGATGCAGAATCCTTTGTCAAGAATCTTTAGGTTGTAAATTTGTTGTGTTCCTTCGATTCGAGCTTCTTGGGGTTCCTTGGGAAACCAAAAGCTTTCCGTTCGGAACTGCCCGCGTGTTTTGGGGATTCCATCCGATGCAGGTAAGCTGCACTGTGCCCGGCGTGCCGAAGGTGTATAGCTCCTGAGCCGTTCGTAGTGGCCCCAGTTGCAACCACTGAGCCTGGCAGACTAAGGCTGAAACGCCCTTCTGGGGTTGACCATTGTCCGTGGAAGGGAACTCAAACAACACACAACAAGCGACAACCATGGAGTTGACCATTTTCCGAAGGGAACCCAACACCAGATCCACTGAACAACTCCATGGGTCCTTTTCGCATACCTGCACAACTTCACCATTTCGTAAAAACCATGCTCTTTGCAGGCCCCAGGAAAGGGGGAACAGAACAAAAACAGAACAAACCAGAAACACACACACACAAACACAAAAAGAGCAGAAGGCCTTTGTGTGTTGGGCATCTTGATTGAAGCTACAGCGGCAAAGAAGGTCCCAGCCAAAGCTTTGGTTTTTCCCCAGATAGACGAAAGCTATGGGGGTTCTAACTTCTAATAAAGAAGGGACAGTGATTTGCGAGATTGAGGGCCAGGTGTTGGGGGGCATGCAGTTTGGGGTGCTGGTGGAGGTGCTGTTTTTCGAGCTTGACGGCCGGGTGCTAGGGGGCATGCAGTTTGGAGTGCTGGTGGAGGTGCCGCTTTGCAAGATTGACGGCCAGGTGCTAGGGGTCATGTAGTTTTTTGGGGTGCTGGTGGAGGTGCTGTTTTGCAAGATTGACGGGCAAGTGCTAGGGGTCATGTAGTTTGGGGTGCTGGTGGAGGTGCCGCTTTGCGAGATTGACGGCCGGGTGCTAGGGGGCATGCAGTTTGGGGTGTTGGTGGGGGTGCTGTTTTGCAAGATTGACGGGCAAGTGCTAGGGGTCATGTAGTTTTTTTGGGGTGCTGGTGGAGGTGCTGTTTTGCGAGATTGACGGCCGGGTGCTAGGGGGCACGCAGTTTGGGGTGCTGGTGGAGGTGCTGTTTTGCAAGATTGACGGGCAAGTGCTAGGGGTCATGTAGTTTTTGTTTTGGGGTGGAGGTGCTGTTTTGCGAGATTGACGGCCGGGTGCTAGGGGGCACGCAGTTTGGGGTGCTGGTGGAGGTGCTGTTTTGCGAGACTGGTGCTGGTGGAGGTGCCGTGACGGCCGGGTGCTAGGGGGCACGCAGTTTGGGGTGTTGGTGGAGTGCTAGGGGGCACGCAGTTTGGGGTGTTGGTGGAGGTGCTGTTTTGCGAGATTGACGGGCAAGTGCTAGGGGTCATGTAGTTTGGGGTGCTGGTGGAGGTGCTGTTTTGCGAGATTGACGGCCGGGTGCTAGGGGGCACGCAGTTTGGGGTGTTGGTGGAGTGCTAGGGGGCACGCAGTTTGGGGTGTTGGTGGAGGTGCTGTTTTGCGAGATTGACGGGCAAGTGCTAGGGGTCATGTAGTTTGGGGTGCTGGTGGAGGTGCTGTTTTGCGAGATTGACGGCCGGGTGCTAGGGGGCATGCAGTTTGGGGTGTTGGTGGAGGTGCCGCTTTGCGAGACCGGTGCTGGTGGAGGTGCCGTGCTAGGGGGCGTGCAGTTTGGGGTGGTGGTGCAGGTGCTGTTTTGGGTTGCTGTTGGAGGTGCTGCTGACCGCGTGGGCGCTTATTTCCCAGATAACTGGAAACCATAGGGGCTCTAACTTGTAATGAAGAAGGGGTGTTGCAAGATCGACGGCTGGGAGCTGGTGCATATGTGGTTTTGGGGTGCTGTTCGGTTGAGGTGCTGGTGACAGTACGTGACGGCAGGGTGCTCGGGGACGTGTCTGGTGCTGGCGTGGGTGCTGCGTTGGGGTGCTGTTCGGTTTGCTGTTTTGGGGTGTTGGTGACGGTGCGGGCGCATATGGATGGCAGGGTGCTAGGGCGGGTGCTGTTTGGGGTATTGTGGTTGTCGCATCACCATGATGCTGGCCGCAGCATCGTGATGCTAACCGATTCGGGCGTTGTTGCTGCCCAAACTGTCGCGCGTAATGGTTCGTGGCTGGTGTATCATCCTGATGTTGTCTGATGCTGCTGCAATCGCCGCGGTGCTGCGTCATGGTTCGTGGGTGTGGTGGCGGCATAGTGCTGTCAACATCAGGATGATGCTGAATTTCATTACATTGTCGCAAGATGATTCGTGGCTGTGGTATCATCAGGATGCTGCCTGTACCATCAGCATGAAGCTGTTCACAGCATCATCATGATGCTGTCCGCATCATCCTGATGCTGTCGAACTCATCAGGACGTCGTCTCTGCCTCTTTTCTGCTTGATATGTAGCGTGGACTCTTTCGTGGATGATGTATCAGCATCATCTGTCAACATCATCGTTTTGCTGATGAACTCACTAGGACGTTATCTGCCGTCTATTTAGCGCACTATGCTGAGTAGCTGTGGTATCCTCATGATGCTGTCAACATCATGAAGATGCTGTCAACATCATCATGATGCCGCGGGAACCATTATGATGCTGCGTCATGGTTCGTAGCCGTGGTGTGCTATCTGGGGTCTATGTTGGTGTATTTTTATAGTAAATGGATATGCCGCAAAGATGAGTGGCTTCACATGGGTCATACTATGGGGTTGTACGGACTGCGCTTGGAACCCTGGTGTTTGGAACACCTTTGTGCTGCAAGGGGCCTGTGCCAAGTGTTCAAATTTGTGAACCCTGATGAGCAAATGCCCACACGAATATAACAAGTGCAATGGAAATCAGTGCTAAAGCATGGCGCAACATCAAACAGTACAAAGCATATGGTGCACGTTTGATGTGGAACCCCTTCTGGTTGATGTTTCTAGGCAAACCACCATTGTCAGGATCCCCAAAAAACCACACACACAAAAAAAACACACACACCCATCTACCTAAGTGACATGTAGATTTTCTGGTAGCGCTGTCCTCCACCGGCCGGCGGGAAGTCCGGGAGACGCCGCCGGTCCTCGTCCAAACCGTGCCGAAGCTCGGTGGCGGAATCTGCTCCGCCCTACAAGTTTGACTCACTTTTAGTGGTTTCATACGGAACACCAATTAGTGGGCAAAAGTCGAAGTCCTAACATCCTGGGCAACATGCACCAAAGAATTGAGGGTAGTTCCCGAATTTTCGAGAACCGGCAAGAAACTGGCTCGCATCGTGCGTTTCCCTCCGCGTTGACGTCTGGCATTTCCTGTTGGGCCTTTCTCACATGTACGAATCCACCCATCCCTCGCAACCAAAGGACCGGGGAAGATCGGGGATACAGAAACATGGCGTAAGGTCAAAAGATCGACTCTTCCCTCAAAGTATCGCTCGAAGTGCAACTCACAACTCCTGCTGGTAAACCACTTTCAAGGGGCTTTGCTCGCTTTACTCATCGGTGAGCTCGTGAACTGATGTGCCCAGATTTGTAAACCACACTCCGATGACCAACGCCCGGATTTTCGGCGATCCTGGGACAAAGGGCACATGTGTTAAATATAATATATATATATATATATAACAGAAACACTCCCCCTAAAAATAGGAGTATGCGCAAAAAAAAAGAAAATCCCCAAGGTTTGGGAAAGGGTCCTGGTACCTGTTTGCAACCGGACTGCAGGTGTTTCTCCTGCCCCTACTACAAAGTGCACAGAATCTAAAAACAGAAAGGACTACACACACACACACACTGTCCCCCAGGCAAATCAACATGAACCCAACAAAGTGCCCCAAATTCCCCGTACAAGAACTCAGGTTTCTCGGGGTCCGCGTTATTTGCAGCTCACTCCCAAAGATCTTGAAATAAACAGGTTTACCTTTAAGAACCTTGCAGGACAAGTAATGGGAACCATGGATTCATCAACCCCTCGTGCAACTCTTACGCGGTTAATTTTCCGGCTGCACTGCTGCACCAAGAGAACATGTTGGGGTCTCTGTGAAAGGAACCTTTGTTGGAGTCGATTATTTAAACAAAAAACAAAACAAAAAAAACGAGGCCAGTCGCCCGCTCCGATGTAGCCCACGGGCTGCCCATTTAGGGAGGCTGCCACTTTTGGGGGGGAGCACCCAATCATCTGCCACGTTTTGTTAATCCAGTGTCGCACCGGTGTTCGCGATTTTGGTCCCCGGGCCGGTGAGCTCTTGAACTAAGTTGCCAGGCTTCTACCTTTGAAGAAGGTTCCCTCCATTTTCCCAAGCCTCCCTGGGAAAATGAAGAAAATGTCCAGGTGCAATAGATTCCCTTTAAAATCAACCCGGGAACGGGACGAATCGACAATTTGTTCCGCCATACGCAACTAGAAGGCTCACAGCAGCCCAGGCCCCTGGCAGCTGCTCGCTTTGTCCCGCCAAGCTTCGCCCTCGTGATGAGGAACATGCCGGCAGCAAAGGCCACGGAGACCTGGGCTCACAGCAAGGCGCCACTATGGTAAGCCCTCGTGCTTCCCTTTGGGGTGTCCAACTTTGAGCACACACACATACACACACACGCAAGCACAAACACGGAGAGAGACACACACAGGCACACATGCGGCTACCCGCCCACACACACATGCACATACTCTCAAACACAAAAACACACACACAACCAGAAACTCAAATCCGCCAGCCTCTCTTAAAGTAGGGGGGGTTCTGTGGCGGTTTCCCTTCAAATTCTCCTTTTTGGGGTTGAACAAAAGGCTCGCCATGCAATGCGCCAAGCTCTCTTGACCCCTCACCTGTCTGGGCAAAGAAGACTTGAGGCTGGAAAAGCGGGCTGCTCTCAGTCATTTGAAGCTTAACAGGCTGGGTCCCAGCGAGAGTGTTTCAGTGCTTCAGACACAGGGAAGTAACCACGTTGAGGGCGCCTGTGCCAATCGTCAAAAGTAGGATGTTGCTTCGGCCCCTCGTGTAAGCGCGGTCCTGTCTTGTTTGATGCTTGTGTTGTTTATGCAACAAGTCGGAGCCGCTCTATTGGTGTAACATCTCTCATACATCTCAACGTTTGCCAATAAGCCGCAAAATCAAAACTTAAACTGACATCTGAAGTGGATTGGACGCAGCAAGTCCAGACTTGAAGTTAGCACTGTGCACAAATCAAGTGCCCTGACGCATCCCGCCGGGTGACGAGAATGCAGCCCCACGCGCGCGGGCGCGTCAAGGCCGGCAGGCGCCTCTGCAAAAGAAGCGGCTCCTGCTGCACGTGTTTGTCCCTGCTCCTGCTTGGCAGCAGTTGGTTACAGCCTCCCCAAAAAATGATCAACGCCGAACCGTGAAAAGCAGCGAGACAACAACCGCCAAAAGGCGAACCGGCACCACACACACACACACACACGCACACTTGCCATCCACGAAACGACGAATCGCGATCGCGGTCCTCGCTATCGTCTTCTCCTGCGGTGGCACTTGGCAAAAGAACAAAGGGCGCCTTTGCTACAGCAGCGTTTTTTTCTGGGCTTTGAAAGGACGCTTTCACGATGCCAAGCGGTAAGTTGTCGCTTTGCTCACAAGCGGTCGCAAAGGACTTGAAATGACCATGTCGAATGAGGAACCCTGTTAGCTGAAATTGTTCTGACGTGCCCCCCTTTTTGTCAGACCCTGCCTTGACTGTACTCGGTGTCCATACTCTGGCTCTTCCATGGCGTCTGGGCTTCATTCATCTGCCCGAATTTTCAAATCTCAACACGACATGATCAGTCTCGGAAAGAAACACGCACCGCTAAATCACGTGCTTGTGGCACATCCGAAGCCGACCATGCTCCTTTCGGAACAGTAAAAAAGGCAAATATGAACCCCGGACCTTTCCCGCAATGGCTCGCCATATTTCAGCCACTGTGGTGAATTAATGCTCCAGGTATGGTTGTTTTGTTTTAGTGTATTTCCTGGTCACTTGGAGTAGACAGTCGCGGCTCAAAGCCCCAGTTACATGCTCCCTGCAGGCGTTCGTGAATGGCAACTTTCTCTATTTCACACAACGACTGATCCAACAAACCGGGCTTTCCAGGATTTTCAGGTTTCATGCTAGTCTGCAGTGGTCATTTCACCCAAGGGATTCATCTTTATCGGGCCCAAGCACCTCTTTTGTTTGCCCAAAGTCAGCCCGCCGAAATTCGTGCAAACCTGTGGCCCGGTGTTTTCATGGGGAAGCGATTTTGCGTGCTTGTTCTGCTCATTGTAGAGAGCGCTGCAAAAAGCACAGCTGTCTAGCAAATATCATCACTGGTCAGGCCAAACTCCCTGAAGTCGACAACATTGCTGGAATGTGTCATGCTTCCAAGGGAGCTACCTGTCAAGGCACATCCGATGTGTGTTTTCTTTTTTTTTAAAGGTGTTGGTACACTTTCTTAGTATATGTTAGCACATGTACACCATATGCGTGCATGCTGGCCCCTAAGCCGAGATGGCTACGACGCCTTGCAATCAAATGCCCAGTGACCATGGAAAGGGAATTCCCTTTTCCCAGTTCCATGCACCAAGTGGGCAACCAAGGGAACTACACTTGTTCAAAAGGGAAATGACTGGTGACTGGTTGCCTACTCTACTGGTAGAGGGATCGACAGGGTTTGAGGAGACCGAAGATGAAGAGAAAAGAAGCAGGCTGAAGCGACCCCAAGGGAACTGAGCCCACCAAAAGGGAACAAAGGAAAGGGCTTCTCTTGCTCTCCTTTCGAGAGGGGAATGCAAGGACTGAAAGTTGCGAAGCTCGGAATTCCCAAAAGAAGCTTGTTAGCACGGATAAGGTTGCCAAGCCGTGTCTGCGGCCCGCGCCCGTGTCTCAATTTGCTGAGGAACCATGATTGCATTCATGCTGGTTTGCTGACATACACGAGCCCCCAACCCCAAACTGCAAGTTCCGAGGGTTTTCCGCGGGTATACAGTACTCTCCAAGGGAAATCATGGCCCCATTGAATGTGGACCTACATTGAGTGGTGTCGGAAACCGCACCCATCGGATACTTCATCTCATGGGATTTCCGCACCGCAGCGCTCCGCGCTCTGAGCCCGACCGGGCTTGAGTGGATCCACGTGGAACCCAAGGTGCTGAAATCAGCTTCCAGGTCCTCCAGTAGAGAGGTTAGAATAAGGGTACCCTTTTTTCCGTAGTCTATTTTAGTAGGGGAACCCTCCCCCAAAAAAGGGTAAAAGGGCACTTGGGGGACCTAGGCTTCCCTCCAGTTGGTAGATTGGTTTGGATTTGGATTTGAACCCCTGGTTCTTCTAAGGGGCAACTGGGAAACCATCCCGAAGCTCCAAACTGCAAATCCAACCAACTAGAGTGAAGCTGATTGAGATTACAGAATCGCAAACAACAACTCAAAAGGTCGATGTAAGGGCTCCGAACAAAAATTGCAATTCTCAAGGGACAAGCTTGCCGTGCCTAGGTGCTGCATACGAAGGCCTTCCCCAGCACTATCCGCATTTGGTGCCCATAGCCGCAGCATCCCCTTTTACATCCGTGATAGTTTAGGGGTGTTTGGAGTCCAGATGTCCTCTTGAATGGTGCACACCCCTCTATTTTTCGGGGTAGGTTCCGATGAGGTGGTTTCAACTGGCTTCGGTGCACGTCCAAATTGTCGTTTGTTGAAGCAGGAGCTTCCCCCGGAGCGCGTGAAGTCCGAAAACTGTAGCATGGTTGTGGAATATCATCCTCGTGATGCCAAAATGGGCTCCAATTCTGCCATTTGCTTAAGCCCCCTGGAACAAATAAACAAAACAACACAAATATGTCTAGTAGTGATCAAATCCTTCCAAAACCAACAAAGAAAGATAACCTATATTCTTAAGCAAATGGAAGAAAATGGGTCCCAATTTATAGAAAGGTCCCGTTGGTTGGATCGTCCAAGGCTCCGCCACTGCTGGCAGCTGTGAGATCTCACCGCCAGCTGGGGTCACATCCAGAGCAACCTCCAAGAAGACCTTGCGGGTCTAAAGCAGAGGCGGCCGGCAACCAAGGGTCACATCTCACTTGCCCAAAGGACCTAGAGAAAAAGGCTAACCTTTTGGGGCCATGACTAAAAACTGACCAAAAAAAGGGAAGCCGATGTCGGGTTCGGGCACGCGAGACATCCATGACACCTCTGTCATTACCAAAGAGGAGGTTGTAGTTCCCAACAGCCAGCTGGGCAAAACCGCCGAACCACCGAAAAACATGTGCCGATCCGAGACCGCCAGTGGATCTCCGCGGGAGAAAACGGGCATCCCGTTGGTTGGTCGTCGACTGGTTACGTTCAGAAGCCAGGTTCAAAACGTGGCAGCCACGGGCCGTATCCCCAACCCCCTGAAACCTTCCAGATCTCGAGCCACTGCACCCCAGCTCACAAAATACACAGGGGTTTTGGGAATGAATGAACCTGGGGATTCCCCATAGAACACATAGATTGAGGTGATTTCACTGGGAGCCCCCCATAGAAAACCCCAGAAAACGCGGGGAATTCACAAAGGAAACTGCAATGGATGGCTCATAGATTCATAGACTAGGTCCTCCAGTAGAGAGGTTAGAATAAGGGTATACCAACTTTTCCTGTAGTCAATTTTAGTAGGGGAGCCCTCCCAACCAAAAAAGAAACGGTAAAAGGGCGCGATCCTGGGGGACCTAGTCGAGGCGATTGACGTTCTCATGGGGAGCTGGAGGTCGTGACTCGACGTCCAAGTTGCGTCCACGCGCCGTTTCAGGAAAAGCTCGAAGAGGATAGCCTGCAGCTATCAAGAACGGGTCCTGGGAAAGCCCCCGGCTTCCTTTCGTGAACAGAAAGAAGAAGTTTTTGTTTGCCAATGGATAGTCCTACACCTAGGGTTCCGTGGATCTGTGTTCATCATGTTAGTGGGCCAAGATGTAAAACACGTACCTGCAAATCTTACATGTCCAAAACCTGAAGTGCGGAATCCCCAAATTAAAATGATCTTTATCAGCTCATTTTACTGGTGAGCGCGCAATGAGGCAAACTAGTTGTTTTTTGACAACTCCCGGCTTCCTTCAAGCCAAACTTTTTCCGGTTCGCCAGGTTCTTTTAGATGGCCCTTTAACCTACGAAATCGGGGGAGGCGGGCGAGGGGGCAAGCTGCAGTTTGGAAAAGGTCATACCTCGAGCTTATGCCAACCCATTGCTGACAGCAAGTGCCAAAAAATAACCAGCGATCAAATGATCAATGGGCTGCTGTTTGCTCGATGTGAAGCCCTCAGTTGCCAGAAATACAGGTCAACAACATGTCAACAACATGTTGGAGCCATGACCAAAAATGGGCCAACATGGGAAAGCTCAAAGGCGAAAAGGTCGATTCGCTTCTTTTGTAAGTGCATGATGGACACACCGCAGGCAACAGTTCACAGGGGTCCCAACCAGGCTGGCGTTCCCAGGCTCTTGAACTGATTTGTCGCTTCCTGAGTAAGAATGCAAAAGCAAAGCCTCAGCTGTTTCTTTACCACTCAAACCTTGGTCTGCCCAAAAGTGGCTGAAGCCCAACTCGGAGCCCACACCAAAAAAAAACCGTGAGTGCGGGTGGTTTTTCTTTGGGCCCCAACAAAAAACCAACCCGAAAACTGGTACCCCGTTTTCACCCACCCGACAACTAGCCTCAAAAAACACGACCTGCCAGTCTCCAGCCCCAGCCGCGATGAAGAGCGTAGTGAATACCACGCACAAATGGGCCAGGCCAAACCTGACATCTCCAGTTCAAGGCGGGTGGCTGGGTTTTTTCTCAGATTCTGAGTGCCCTCAATATTGTTTTAGTAGCTGGTGGAAGGACTGGATCGACACCGGCTCAGTTGCCTTTTTTCCTGAACCCAAGCAAAAGGCGACCTTTCGGGGCCAGGACGAAACTGGGCTGCCCTCAGACCCCCCGCTAAAGTTTAGCTTTTGGTGGGTTAAACGGAAACTCTCACTAAACACTACAAGGCTGAGAAGCTAAGGGGATGGCTGGGAGCCACCAAGGAAAGAGCTGCCGAAAAGGGAAAGCCAGAAGGTCAGTCGCCCCCGGCTCCCCGTAAAACACAAAACAAATGGAACAAGATGCCAACTGCTGGAACCATTTTGGGGGTTAATTCCATGAGTGGTTCCCAAATCAGTTGGGCGGGGCTCCCAAAAAAGAAGCAATGATGCACTTGCTTGGAAAACGGAGACAAGGAACCGCTTTGTTGAGGGTGTACGCCGATGGATTCCAGAACCATCCGTGAGGAAACTCCTCGGAGGGCTCTTTCTTGGGGCCCTTCTGTTCAAAGGCATGGACTTCACAAGGCACCCATTGATGGTTGGGCTTATCCTCAACCCTTCGTCTCAGGAGCTGTTCGTGTTGCTCAAGTTGCATTATCTGCTTCTCCATCTATTTCTAGGGTGAGTCTGGCTCAAGTTGGCTTAGTTTTTTCTAAATGACAAAAGAACACTCCACTTCAAAAACCCTGAACTCTGTGAGAAAAAAACAAATCTGAAGAACACAACTTTGTATTCAAACCACACTTCCCAGCTTCTCCATACATGAGCATGTGTCAAAAAATGGGACCCATGAAAATGATGGGTATCCTCCGGATTTCTTTTAACCACCCCCAAACATGGCACCAAGCCTGACAGCAGGCCTCCCTTGGGCGCCGGGCGAGAGAAGAGCGCCGCGCTGGCACCCGAAGCCAGCGAAGCCAACGGACACGGCGGCGGTGCAGATGTAGGACTGCAGCTGGCCTCGCTCGGGTCCATG